ATGGCTTTAATTCCCTTTAAGAATGAACTAAAAAACAAATGTAACAGAACTTTGAATAATGTACAGGATTCTACAGTTAAAACCGATCATTTGTGCATATTTATTAAGGATAAAGTAAAACACGTTGATTCGCATAGTCCAAGAAAAGCATCGAAAATTTGTGTAAAAAATGTATGTTACTCAAGACTGGGGAGCTTAGCAGTGCGCAAGTCATCAGAACCGGACGACAACACGGTGACATTGGCACTGACTACCACCATTATCAGTAAATATTCTGCCGACGTCCGGGAAATTTTTGGTTCAGTTCAGTTTTTAGGGTTCATATCTTGCACCAAATATCTGAACAATTATCGATCAAATGGTTAAAGACGAATTGCGGCCACGTAAGTCATGGCGGTTTGTCTTGCACATTTCGTTATGACTAGAACAAAGCGGCGTTCTGTCCAAATTCGACTTGCTATCCGTCAATGATTTTCTATTCGTTTTCCGTCTGGTTGCACCGAAGTTACATCGGCTGAATTCCTACTCAAGCGAATTATCGCTTTGGGAAAATTTCGCTGCATTTGAATCCCGCGCCACAGGAATTCGAAGTCGACCACTTACCGTTGCTTCACCCCTCCCCAGCCCCTCATTTATCCATAAGTCGCGTTCATGTATCACATAGCATACTCCCTGATAAAGCATTGCTGAACAATCGACAGATACACGGGATGTCTGGCAACGGAGAGCAAGGTACAGTGCGGCGGTTCAACAATGATAAAGCTGAGTTACAACTAATATATTTTAAAGCATGAGTACAGTGTTATTGTGATGCGTCTAGACAATAATGTGCTTGAAACGGAAAGATTTTGATCAGTGTGTGATTTCAAAACAAACCGAGTTGCGAATCATGGGCCACAAGCATGGATTACGCAACACAGTATGGAAATAGAAGAGAGGAAGATCGATGAATGAGCAAGGACGCACGTAAGAGTCAGGAATGTTATGATCTGAGTGATAAAGTTATAGTGAAAATGGGCATGACTCATTGCAGAAAAACTTATCATCGCTGCACCAGAGACATCAGACTGTACTGCATAAGTGAGTAAGCGACCACTAAAATAACCTCCAAGTCCACCGTAGTATGAGCTACAGAAATTTGCAGGATTCTGATTGACGAAAATGGCAAAAACGTTAAGCCTGTAGCGAAGTAGTGGAGATGACTTCATTCAGCAATAGGTCAGCAAACGCTGATGATGATGTATGCGCAAATTCGGAACACTTTGCTTGACAGTTCAGTTACTGATTAGGAAACATTCTAACCTTAATCGCGGCGTCAATAT